AAAACTACTTGATCTAAAAGTTCAAATGAGACTCAATCTGATGCCTCAACATCACTTGTAACAGCGACTAAAAACATTTGTGTTTCATCATTCATAATTCTCTCTACTGCTGCCGTCATTGAGCTAAGATGGAGGGAGAAAAAGCAAAGTTTGGATTTCAGCCCAAGCCAAACTTTCCCATTGAAAGATTGTCATTAAGTAAGCATTAAATAAGAGGCAGGGGTACATGGACAGGATCAGACACAATAACAGAAAAAAAAAAAAAAAAAAAAAGGTACAGCCTAGGTTGTTGGAATCTAGATAAAACAGTTCATGTCACATTAAAGAGGTTACAGTAGCCACAAAGAGGATTTGATGTAACCAACAACAATTACTACTGTAATCTGTTACTGACATATAGTGGACATTGCTCTAGGGCTGCAACTAATGATAATTTAATCGATTAATCCTTTGTTCTATAAAATGTCAGAGAACAGTGAAAATAACATTTAAATTTTATAAAACCCACGGTGAAGACATTAAATCTCTTCTTTGTTTGACCGACAATCCAAAACCTCCAAAAGTTCAATTTATTATCCTTTGAGAACAAGAAAAGCAGCAAATTCTCACATTTTAAGAACCATTTTTGTTTAAAAAAAATGACTCAAACTCTACATTGCTTATTAAAATATTTCCAGATTTTCTTTCAATCAGCTAACTGATTCATTAACTAATCCAAGCTGCCCTGCACTGCACCATATCATGTCATTTGATACCTGTACCAGAGCTGGTCAGGGGTTAAACAAAGACTCACTTTAATCAGCCTTGAGGTCAGGATTTGGGGTTAGCACTTAGGTTATGTAGTAATGACTTAGTGCTGCAGAGTTTCCTGCAGCCATACTGTCAATAGCAACTGTGAAATATGAGGGAATATTTGGGTCATTAGAGCTCTGATCAAGGACTCTAATTTATTCTATTAACCAGTAACATGTCTTCTTTACATATAAGTGAATATTTTGTGGAGAGGAGTGTGCAAATTGGTCATAATCCCTGATTAGATGAAGTTTTTTATGCTGCCCATATCTCAAGGTACATACATTTTGCAGATGACACTATGGAGCCATTAACTTCACTAGGCAACTTCCACAGAGACTGATAAGAGCAACAATACTGTCTTTGTTGGCGGCTGTGGGTGTGAAATAACACAAATACAACCTGAGAGGGAGAGAGAGCGAGAACAGCAGTCTGTTCTGTTTGCAGTTACTGTTCTTTCAGTGTGTGTGTGTGTGTGTGTGTGTGTGTGTGTGCTTTGGTTGGACCTCCAAAGGACAAACTCATTAACAGTTTGTCTATGAATTACCATTTTTGCATTAACAGGTCTTGACAGCCATCTTAAAATGTGCTTTTGCATCCATTCACTTTTTCTGGAGTGGAGGTCACAAAATAGTCAAACTCTGCCTGTGGTGTTTACCAGCAAACTAACACAGGTTACACTCTGTGAGCAGTTTTATAAGAAAAATAAGATAAGAATCAAGTTATTTTAAAAGGTTCAAGCCACATAACCCTGTTTGTTTAATGACCTCCTGTCCACAGAGCTCAGATGTTCTGTTAGAACTTGCAGCAGCAGCACACATCTTCTGATTCTCGCCTGGAGAAAAAAAGGTTTTAAAAGAAAAATACCTCAACACTGAAAGACTTCCCACGTATGAAAAGAGCTCTACTGGCTTTGTCTGTTTCATAAGATTTTATCCAGCGTATTATTAAATCTTTCTGATATGACACTGGCCTGCAGCTCTTAATAAATCTATATATTAAAAATGGATTAAAGAAGAAAATGTGCCTACCATTTCCTGGCAGGAGGAGGTGTTTTCAAAGAAGCCACAGGTTACAGAGCTGCTATGATTGACATTACAACCTGTTCTACAGGGGGACTGTAAGTATGTTGACAGGTACAGGCAGGTGTCAAATTAAAGTAAAAAGACTGAACAATGATCTGGTCCCTTTTTAAAAAAAAAATTAATTGTCCTTTTCCATCTCATTACACAGTGGGTCATATAGGAGGGGGTTCTCTCTCCCTTGTTGAATTTGTGAGCCCACATTAAAACACTTGTGATATTGGAGCACACAAATAAACTTGACTTAAGGCTTGACTTAACTTGGAGAAGAGGCTGCATGAAACCGCCCTACACTCTCTAATGTCTTTGCTGGGACAGGAAATGATCAATAGGATAGTGAACACCAAAGTTCAGTCCGCCAAAACTGACTGACTGACTGACTGACTGACTGAGTGTGGTAGGCCTCCCTCCTCCCGTCAGCCTGGACTTTACAGTTGTTGCCAAAGGTCGAGTCCTTCGAGTTACAATATGTGAATGTTTAATTCCCCCCCCCAGCGACACACACACACACACAAACACAAACACTGAATCAGGCTCTACTAAAGTCTATGCGTTTACTTTATTTCCATGCCACAGGCTCTAATCTTATTGGTTAGATGTCCTGTTCTGTTTCATGTGTTGTAGAAACTGACACTTACTGAACTCCATGAGCGACTTGCTATCCCAGTTGTCATTCCTGCCTCGGTACTGGTTCCACATATTGGCGTAGTGGGACTTGGCGTCTTCGTCCTCGACCCATCCCGACTCGGCGGCGATGGCGATAATGTCAAAAATAATGGCGAAGAGCAGCAGCAGGGGCACGATCCACCTGCATCGGGGCCAGGCGATCCCACAGCGAAACATGACCGACGATTGGAGTGTGTGGAGCGGGTTAGAGAGAGAGACAAACGAGGTACAAACAAGTGGGTAAGCGCGGCGTCAGCCCGGTTATAAAGGGTGTCCTTCTTGTGCGTTTATGCGCAAAGGCAGTGTCAAAAGGGTGTGGTGCGGTTAAAACCTCGCCCGAGCCTGTAACGCAACCTGTTTTGGGACCTGAAGGGCTGGGCTTGTCTGGCAGTAAAAGCTGAATCAGGCCCAGCCCCACTGACTGTGTCATATTACACCCAAAAAAACTGCAACTGTCGAGGCGCCTGTTTCACCTGAGTCCGGACATCCAGCTCTGACTTTTAATGGTAAAGTTGGTCATATTTAGGTTTTGGAGTTACAACAGGTGACCATGGGCAGGACTGTGAGAGAGCAGAGTGTGAGAGGTAGAAAAAGAGAGAAATTAGAGATAATGAGATGATGCAGTGATGAAAGTGGCCACAAGATGGCAGCCCAAGGAAAACTATACTTTCTCCAGTATTATTTATTCTCCCACCCTTTACAATAAAGGCCCATGTCTATTATTATCTTATATCTAAGATACAACCATCATTGGTCAGTAGTGGAGGAAGTGTTCAGATGCTATAGTTAAGTAAAATCACTAATAATACAGTGTAAAAATACTCTGCTGCAAGTAAAAGTTGCATTAAAAATGTTCTAAAGTAAAAGTTTTTAATATAATCAGAAGAATGTACTGAAAGTATTCCAAGTAAAAAATACTCAATGCAGAAAAATGCTATGTAAAAGCAGGATTTTCCAGTTGTAGTTGAGGTGGAGCTCCTACGCACATATACTACTGCATCAGTGCTGTCTTTACAGCAATAATGGAAGTCTTGTACGTTATTTTTTTGTCCAAAACATTTTGCAGATATTATATGCAGATATATATTTGTGACCTGGGGTCCTCTCTCTCATTGAGTCAATAAACTAAACAAAAATAAAGAAAAAGATAGAAAAAGAAAAGGCTTCAAATGAAGTAAGAAACCTGAATAATCTTTGGCACAGCTGTCTTGTTCTTCACTGTCACCATATATCAACACACCCGATCACCTCTGTGGAAAATTTGGTGTTTGCACCGCATCATCAAAACACCATTTTGGAAGAACGTCTGACATCTTTAGGCGATCCATGATGATTCAGTCAGTGGATTGCAAAACAACTCTGATGACAGTTCGACAGTAGCTGATTTTGCTGGGAGACGTTCTAATTCTGTAAAACCTCCTCTGCTTAAATAGAACTGATGCAATGTCTCAAAACCTGTAAGAGCCCAAAGTGTCACTGATTCATTCTTAAAAGATGTCAGCGGATGACATAAGAATTGTAAGTGTTAATACTCTGATGTCCACAGTGGGGAGACAGTTATCTTTGTTTGTAGATAACACAAGTCAAGTAGCACAATATTAATTTGTTTGTTTATAAAGTGCGTTTTAATTTTCATACTGAGAGTAGCTGCTAATGTAAGTTGAGCCCTTGTTTTAGGTGTCAAGTGAGAAGTGAAACCTGCTCACCTCATTATTTGTATGAAAGATGAGATTAAAGTACAAGGGGATAGGATGAAAATTACCGTATAGAAATAGCTGATGGCTTTGTTTGTTTATGTAGGTCATATAGAGGCATCAGTATTAAATTGAGACTGTTTCATAACCAGTTTTGCACAATGACCCCTTTACTGAGCCTTAAAGGTCCTGAAAGATCATTTATTTATTCATCTTAAACACACAAATTATTATTGTTATTATTTGCGGCACAACTTATGACTTTATCATTCTTATGAGTGCATGATGACATCATGTAAATCCCAGCATACCTTTGTACAACTCCAGCTTTAGTAGGTCTGTTTAGCAACTGAAAACAGCCGGGGCCTTTAATCTTTTACAATGTATCATATTTAATAAGTTGATCATAGGTTTTGTTGTGTAGCATAGTAAAAAGTCCAGTATTTCACTGTTAACTAGATAGATACTTTATTTATCCCGAGGGAAATTCAAGAATGCAGTGGAGTATAAGTATAAAGTAGCATAAATTGTATAAGTGAAGTACAATTACCTCAAAATTGAAATGAAAACTGTATTTGAGTAAATGTACTTAGTTACTAGTTAGGTGTGAATAAATAGATACTACCATAAAATAATACAGGATATGCCACAGAACACTTTAATCATGAAGTATCTCCATCTGGTAACCACTGCTTGTGTCAAAGTAATATTCATATTAATAAATATTTTTTAAATAATGAGAAAGAAACATGAAGACACTGACAAGTAGTAGTATGGGTTGTTTTATTTGGGCTACATCAGACCTAGCCACATATAACAAGGATTATATGATGAGGTAAAAAAACAAAATAACACTTTGACAGTCCTGGATATAATACTGGATGATATTGACAACATTTGGGCTGAAAAATAAAAAAAGATAACATGACAAAAATAATACATATTTGTTCCTTGACAAGTTAAGATGCACATTTTGTGCTGAGTTTGTCTCCAAAACATTTTCACATAAACCAGGGAGTGATAATAATGACTACATAAAGCCTAGAATGAGTCATGGTTTTAAAGGGTATACCACACACACACACACACACACACAATTATGTTGTTATATGTCTGTTTATTTTTAAAGCTTTTGCCCAAATTAATTTCTAGCATGTAACAGAGTCACAACAACCAGTCAATGCTTATCAACAGTAACAGCAAGGACAGAATTACTTTGAGATAAGAAACACAATGATTTTTGACCTTAAAGAGCTGTTACCCATGAGGTTATCAATCAAAGTTTCTTTCCCATTCAAATGTCACAAATAATCAGATTCATGGTCTTTCTTATCCAGTTTTGGTATAGTGGTTCTCATCAAACTGCCTACTGCCATAGGCCATAGATATTTTTACGTTTAGTTTTAACTTCCTGTCTGTGTTAAGACAGAAAAATCCCTCTCCCTAATCTCAGCTTCTGTCAACACTTCACAGCCTTTGTGTCATCTACTATATCGCTCTGTCTTCCTCTCTTCCTGTTCCCTGTCCTTACCTCTGCTCTACAAGATGCCTCACACTGTTAGGAATCTGTCCATCAGCGGTCACCGTGGATATTAACCATGTCAAAAACAAGGTGTCCTGCATGTTTTTTAAAATTATTATTTTACTGTTAGTATTTCTTTTTCAGTTAAGTCAGGTTTGTTATTGATGTTTCTTTGGATTTTGTTTCTTATTCACCTCTCTAATTCTACAAAATTCATATGTAAAGATATATGAGTGCATGCAAAGATGTTGATGATGATATATATGAATCGTATGGCACACATAAAAAGTGAGAAAAAAAGAAAGTTGATGTTCGATGTCAACATGATGTTTTTACCATATCGTGCAGCCCTAAAATCTGTCCAGTCTTCTCGAAGCAGTAGCCTGGCTTTAGTTACTGGTGGGGCTGTGTTAACAAGCAGAGCCTGGTGGGCCTATTTTCTTTAGATATATTGTGACAGGCTGACAGGCTTAGTAATGTGTGTTATTTGTATACATGTGATTAAATCAGGATATTTTTCATTTGAACCCCCACACCTTTTTCCTGTTCCGCTCTGCTTCCTTCTTTTCCTCTGTATCCACAGGTTTAAACACAGATTGTTCATGCACACAGTCACATTTTAGTACTGAATAAAGGGTGGTGTCTTAACTGAATTGACTGAGGTTAGCTCCAAAGGGACTGAAATGTCAAGTATGAGCAAAATGAGATGCTAGGCAGTGTGGAAGAAGTGTGGAATGCAAACTTGGCAACTTCATGCAAGTGTAATAAAATGGTTGCTCACAGTTTTCTGCTCCCAAGAGCATCAATTATTCAGAATGGATTCTACATAAGTACATTGTGAAAAGAAAACAGTCATCAAGCATTTCCTTCTTTCCCTGCTCCAATTGTAGTTTTTACCTGTAACTGTAAAACTTTTTTAAAAAAGTGTAATGTCTCTCTATCTCCCCTAGCACCCCTCTTCCCCCCGAGCTGTCTTGTCAAACTCATAGGACGGGGTTGCCGCTGTCGGTTCTACTGCTGGGGGTTCTGAAGTCCTGACATATAACAACCAACCGGTACAAGTTCAGTATGACCACCAAGAAGTTCTTGATGGCGAAGAAAACCAGCATCTGGTGGAAGACTTTGAAGTAGGTCATGACGGTGAGCCTGACCACCAGAAAGGGCCCGTCCTGGATAAACAAGGCCTCCACGATGCTCCACATGTCCGTGCTGTGTTTAGTCATAAGGGACACCTTCTTGGCCCTCTCCTCACCCTCAGCGTCTGGCTTGGAGTTCACCACTTTTGAAAATAAAGGGGGAAAAAACAGGAGGTTGGTGGCAGAAGGAAACTGTCATCGGGGAAGGCTGCACATTTGCTCTTTTGACCAACCTTTCCTGTTTTTGGCTGGATTCTATTGTAAAGCAAACCTATAACCAAATGTTTGGGGATCGGGGATTTGTTTTGATTTTTTACTGGAATTTGGAGATATCCTTAACTTAGACAGTTGCTGCCACTCAGAACTTCATTTGTTTTTTTAGTTGAGAAAACAATCTAGGTCCATTTAGTAGCAGTCCTGGCCTTTATACACTTTTTACCGTTAAATCTTTCCAGGTCCTTTTTGTTCAGTGTGTGCTAGTTTGCAAGGTCCAGAAAGTTGAACATGTTGCACCTGTATGTCAACACTTTCTGTGTTTATACTGCCTTCAAACATACTGGACACTAACAAAAAGACACACCCACATGAGCAAACACAAACACGTACTGTACACACTAAAGGGAGAGCAGCTTCCTTTATAATCACAAATGGAGCACTATGTAGTCAAACTCTAAGTGCACTTAATGCATTATGACAGTAAAGCTACACATGAAAAAGTATCATTATTAAGAATCTCAACCGTTTGTAAATTATTAAAGGGTGGCTTATGAATAATTGAGATCATTAGTAGAGGTTGTCTTTTCCTAGAACAAAGCTGCATCTTGCTTCTAATCCCTTTATTATATTCTTTCTTTCTTTCTTTCTTTCTTTCTTTCTTTCTTTCTTTCTTTCAGCCTGGGCTTTTCTCCCTCAGACTTAAGGAAGCAGGTTTGCATTCTTTAATGTGGTCAGTGAATTTCAGAAAGATATCTGATAGTTGGGCCTTGCCCTATAATGGCCTTCTCTTATCAGGCTGGGGATCCAAATCTATTTATGTAATGGACGTGTGAGAGTGGATTTCCTTCTAAAGATTGTCGACATTTATACAAACTTAAGAACACCCTTCCGGTTAGTGATTTGTTTTGGTGGTAAGTCTGTTTTTAGAACCATGTGTCTGAAAGTGGGGGCATTGCCCTCTCTGATAAAAGCCCCTGTGGCTTATTTGACTTGGGAAAAAAGATTTTGGGTTAATAATTTGACAAAGCTGGAGATAGAGGAGTTCAGCTGAGCTCGTTTTCACTGTTTACATACAGCACTCGCCTGGATGCTGCTGACTTTGCTAATGTTTAGCCAATGTCTAAACCCAATGTCTGGATCGTGTGGGAAGAGGTTATGCACAGTAATACACGGCTGTAACTGCATAATAAGCACTGCAGTTGTTGGTTTAAGACACAAACACACACTGACCGGCCAGATGTAGAGGGAACTGCAACATGCTCCAAGTCCATACACCTAAGATGATGTAGACCAGCTCAGGGCTGTTCTCTCTGAAAAAGACACACGCAAAATATAGACAAGAAATGTCAGTGGGATGCCGCTTATTTCAGTGAATGCATTAATATAATGTCAGCACATCAGGAAAAGGATTGAAGGACACAGATATCGTCACTTCACCTTAAAAGTGCTTGAGTTCTACACCTTGGTGTCATAAATGTAAGTGCACAGAGCTCAGCAGACATACATAAAATTATGAAGCATATTCATAACCAACAAGTAACATGATCGGCACCCACTTGACATCTGACAGCGTCTCACTAGTAAATTCCAGGATGTCTGCCGCAGTGCCAACAAAAATGAGGAGAAGCTGCGAGAGCTCGTCACGTGTGACTCCGCCTCCCAAGGGGAGAAGCCACTTCCCCACAATGAGGAGGATGAGCAGGATCTGATGAAGAGCCAGGATCCAGTCGTTGGAACAGACAGCTGACAACATCTGGTTAATATTCTGGAGAAGGAAGAGAAATCAAAAGCTGTTTCTGTGTCGACAATAAGGGTTTTTCTGGGATGGCTGGATCTTTTCAGTCAGGAACCATCATGTTATTCTAAAATATGCAGCTGGCTCTCAGCTCATGCAATGCTACCAGTTTCTGATAAATATCATTGCAGCAATAAACCTTCTAAAGTTAAAGTACGCAGAGATCACCTGATGATGTTTGCTACCTCAATCTCATCTCTTACTCCCTTTATGGACCCTGTAATATTTGGTCTGCTAAATGTTGAGTCAACAAATCCAATGAAAAGACCAAAACCAGAATCAAAATCAGTCTCTCTTAATACTTTCCAACACTGTTCTAAACTCACTAAATCTTTGGGTCATAAATAAAGGCTATACTTCTATCTTTTAGAAAAGGATTAACAACGCTGTAGATTTTGGAAACGTCAGTAGGGCAGTAGTATATGCAGCCAGCTTTTGGAGGTATGGCCACCGAACTTGATCTTTCTAACTCTCCTGGGCTAAGTAGGTGTGGTCGTGGTTGAGCCGTTGTTTGTATAAATTATTTCAAATACTCTCCTCTTACTGTAAATGGCCACAGGGGTTTTCAGGCTCTTATGTTGGTTATTAGTGGCAGAAATTGTCATTTATCTATCTAAGCTAAACGTTTAGTTCAAATTCTATGGCTAGTAGAGATAAGATAACCAAAAGTTTGTTTGTTTTAGTCTTCATGTAGATGTTTGTGCTGATGTCTGCATACTTTATACCGTATACTCTGTCTTTCTCTTCATCTGAAGCAAAGCAAAAAAGATTGCTCTTCTCATGACAGTTACATTTGAGTACTTCTTGATAAAAATGCTGCTGTTGATGTTTACCATGATCTTTTCCTAGTTTGTCTGAGAAAATGGGATGGGCTATCTGGTACAGTGAGTATCTATTTATGTTCTTTGTGTTATTTCACTGGGCCTCCCTGACCAGTGGAGATCCTCAGGGGACCTTCTTTTATTCTCTCTCTAAATGCTGCGTTTAGGGCACATTATCCATCTCTCATCATTTCTATTCTACTGAATCTAGTGATATTGAGTTTTGCTATTTGTTAAGCCTGGTAAAAAGGTCTCACTACCTAACATTATTGTTTTGCCGAACTCAGAGCTTTCTTATACAAAAAAAAATTGAATTGTCTCTTCCCCCGATTGGACTTCTAAAAGTATTCCCCACTGTCAGGCACGTCTGTTATAAAATATAGTGAATTAACCTCCCACACCCCCTCCCGGATATTAAAAGCAATGCCACAGGAGCATTTAGGCATATAATAAGCCAACTAATGGCAGAGATAATGCATCCTAAACATCTGCCCTTAATGAGGATGCCTGAATTCAGAAAATATTCCTGTAATGGACAAGGAAATAACAAGGCTGTATTGACTGTGGAGAAAATGATTAAACCATAATGTCTTCTCAGTTTTAGCCCACAAGACAACTGATCAACAATAAACCAAAGATTAACAAAACACTTTTTATTAGATTTTCTTGCTGGCTGCAAAAGTCCAGTGTGTAACATTTAGGTGGATCTATTGGCAGAAATGGAATATAATATTCATAGTTATGTTTTCATCAGTGTATAATCACCTGAAAATAAATAAGAATCATTGTGTTTTCGTTACCTCAGAATGAGCCGTTTTTATCTGCAGAGGGAGCGGGTCCTCTTCTACGGACATGTTGATCCGCTATGTTTCTACAGTAGCCCAGAATGGACAAACCAAACACTGACTCTAGATACAGTCTTTCGCTTTTTTCCGCAAATTTTGCTGCTACTGTTATTTTCTCTTACATGCTTGGATGCACAAATGGTGTAATCTACAACTACACACTAAATACCACTAAATTCTACACACTGGTCCTTTAATATTCTGCCTCGCACATCCTGTTGTGAGCACAATTAATTTACTCTTTGAATTCTGCCGACTTTGTCTCAAAATCTTGAGCGAGAGAACGGCTCTTCCCAGAATTAAAGCCTGTATTTGTGATGAAATCCTTTGAGGATTCTTTGAGTTCTTAAGCGCCTGGGGCTGCATCCCACTTTCCAATCCCCTAAAGTTTGTGTTTTTCTCTTCTGCATTCACTTCTTCCTAAATAGCTCGTAGAAAACTAGAATCAAAGGATGAAAAGCGATTTACAGTTTTGGTTTGAAATAGGAGAGATCCTAAAACAAAAATGTGCTATTATGAGTGAGGTTTCAAGCGCACAGCTCCTCATCAAGTGATTTATTAGTTATGAAATGAACCTTGAACCATAAGCAACATTTAAAGATGACTTAGAGGAATAGTTTTTGGAAATACGCATGTTTGTTTTCTTAGTTAAGATCGATACCACTCTCATATCCGTCCATTCAAAGAGAGGCTAAAGCCAGCAGGCACATAGCTTAGCTTAGCATTAAGACTGGAAGAAGAGGGAAACAGCTAGCCTGGCTCTGTACAAAGGTAAAAAATCTGCTGATGGGCGCCTGGTTAGCTCAGTCGGTAGAGCTGGCGACCCCTGTACAGAGTTGCTGCAGCAGCCCGGGCTCGAATCCGAACCGCAGCCCCCTGCTGCGTGTCATCCCCTCTCTCTCTACCCACCTTTCCTGTCTATCTACAGCTGTCACTATCCAATAAAGCCAATAAAAGGCCCAAAAAATAACTTTAAAAAAAAAAATCTGCCAACAAGCACCTCTAAAGCTCAATAGTAAAGACTTTAAATCTTGTTTGTTTAATTTGTGCAAAAACTGAGGACTAAAATGCCAAGTTGTGTGTTTTTTATGTGCCTGACTATTTCCTGGTTGGATGCAGTGAATTCCTGGAGTCTCATTGTCTGGCAGCCTGTGCTGCCAGTCAGCGATTATTAAACTGTGAATCAGAATAAAAAAGAGCAACACTGAATGGATAAAACAAATGAAAATGTGAGAATGAGAGAAAAAGTGACTAGCTGAAGCAAATTCTTTAGAAATATGTACTTCTCTTTAGCTTCATTTTTGAGGTTGTGGTTAGTTTCATATCCCCAGAGCCCTAGTGTTGCAATGCAGTGCAATTGCTTTCCAAGAAACACATCATCTTTCTCATTGGTGTTGATTTATGTTCTTTGCAGGAAATATATATAAAAGATGATATTTTCTATCATAAGAGGCAAGTGAGGCTAAATTATTTTCTGTCACTCTTACCTTCAGGTAGTCCTGGTATGTTTGGTTTCCATTGGTCTGGTTTGGAGTAATCACAGTACGCAAATTCTCCCAAGAGTCGAGCTTTTTGCACTGAAAACAGTTGAAAGAGGCTTTTAAAGAGACTGACATTTCAGACTATTTGTACTTTTTAAAGCTTATAAGATTCAAGTTTGAAAGCCAATGCAGTATTTGATGGAATCAAGAAATTACTGGACATGTGCAAAGGGAGTTTTGCAACCCACACACCCACCAACATCTGTCATTAGGTTACAATGTTTGGAAAATATGAGAACTGTTGTTGTAAGCAGTTAAGATGCCAGAAAGCTAAATACTTAAGCTTTCTGCCGTTAAGTACCAGAGGGTCGCTCTCTTTGTTCTGCTGGTAGTGGAGCTCCAGGATCCAGATGGAGGGAATGATACTGATGAGAAACAGAAAGATAGGAGGAGAAAACCTGCAAGACAACCAAGAGAACTTTATTAACACAACTTCACAAAAACACAAGAGGGGAAATTACGTAATACAAAACTTAACTCAGAGTTAAAAAGTCAAGGATTTATATTTTGAAAACTTACACTGTCACTGATATTAATTAATATTACAGCTGTTTAGGGATGAAACAATTAGTCGATTCATTAATTAGACAGCTGACAGAGCATTAATCAGCAATGGACGAATCATTTTAACAGTTTTCTAGCATTTGAAATGTTAAGATTAGCTCCTTTTTTTTCTGTCTTAAGGTAAATATAATAACTTTGGGCTTTGGACTGCTTACTGTTGACATTTGAAGATGCCATCTTGGATTATCACTCCAACACACTTCAGTTTACAGTGTCATGATACTCCCACACAGATATCTGCTTCTTCTGAGGCTGAATAATTTAACAGGATAACACATGCAACAGTTAAGATGGTACCACCCCATCCTCACTGTCCCAGGAGGGGTTAAACAATAGCAGCAAGGGACAAGCAGGATGCATGATATTTATGGTGGTGGCTGGGGGAGGACTGGGGGGAGATGACGACGGCTTAAATTATTTATATATTTTACTGTAAATCTATTCAGGAATGAAAATATGTGCAAACACAAGTGAGATTAGTTTTGCACAAGCAAAAAAAAGTTCCTCAAGCACATTATAATTAGCTACCAAGCATTTACAAACATTTGCATACATGCACTTCAGCTTACCATTTGTAATCTTTTCCCTTTCGATTCTTCAGGGTTATTATCATTTCAACGAACAGCGGCAGAAAGAGGAAAGTCAGGAACCAGTAATTGTTATCCTTCACCCACGTCACCCTCCAGACCCCGGCCAGAGAGACTAAGATAAATAACACTCTTGTAATAATCGCACATACAAACTTGAACAGGCCCATAGCGCTGGCTGGTTGTACTGTTCAGATCCTAGAGAGCCGGCAGTGGCTGCTGTTTTAACAGGAGGGGGGGGACTAGTTCGCCAAGCTTTTCGAACAAAGTCCCCAAACTTTAAGCCCCGCCTAGAAAGAGAGTCCCATTCAGCTGTAGATGACCGGGGATCAGATTTGTGAGAGTAATGGCGCTGCTGGATAAATCCGCACCCAGTGGGCCGCCGTTATATACATACCATAGCAAGCTGTACAAAGATCTCATTCAAAATTACTGAGTGATTTATTCATGACATGATGAAGTCCATCACAAGCTCCGCGACTGTACAGGAGAGGGCAGCATCTGCTCATTCAAGGTATAACAATATGAGGCTCACTTCCTGTGCTGCTAAGAAGAATGACATGCATAATGGGCTGCACATTTATATTTCCAATGTAGTGATGTTTTATTCTGGGAAGTCATATGGAGCCAGTGGGGGATGAAGTAAGATAATTTAAGTAGAATTACATTGAACAGAAGAATTCTCAGCATAATGTACTTTAAGTATCGAGGGTTAAACGCATGGTCCATTAGGCTACTACACATTGTGTTATTGGATTATTATTACTGATGCATTAATGTACAAGCAGCATTTTTAATGTTGTTGCTGCTCACAGTGAAGCTTATTTTATCTATACTGTTGGGTGGGTTCATTTATCATCGTAAACTGTTATATGTAGGTGTAAAATGTGCAATATTTCCCTCTGTAGTAGAGGAGTTATAAAGTATAGCAAAACTGTGCAGTAAATACAAGTATCTCAAACTTGTAATGAGTACAGTCAAATGTAACTAGTTACGCTCCAGCTCTGCATGGAGCGACTGATTGTATTTTGGGAATTGCAATAGTATTTATATACTTCCTGTGTAAAAGGCAGATAAAATAAACATAAACCTAATTATACTAATATAAACATTGGATGGATGCATGATTTAGTTTAGTCCTGGGCCTAATTTAAAGAAAACCAAAATACATACAACACAAACAAAACAAATCTGACCAAACTAAACTAAACAAAAACAGTTACGTAAAACACACATGATGCCATGCAATTTTAACCAACATGTCTATCCAACATATTATTCATTTCTGTAACTGGAAGAGATTGAAATTGAGCAGCAGTTAGGCTCTAATAGAGTATGTAAATGTATACAACCTAGTTCTTTACATTTCTGATCAGTGATTACGATTTGTCCAACATAAAACCATAATCATGTAGTCTAATCACATATCTTATTATCTCGCCATGCAGGAAATAACACGTCAGACCAAATCCACCCTGGCTACAAAACACACACACACACACACACACACACACACACACACACACACACACACACAGACAGACAGACAGACACATGCGCGTGCGCACACACACACACACACACACACACACACACACACACATACGACATTTTGCCCTACTTGGCTGCATGCTGGGTAGATTTCTATTCAAATCAATTTGGCAAGCCAGTGCAGGAGAGAGGAAACAGTAGAAAAGGGCCTGTAACCTTGGAAAAGAGACAGACTTTTCCTGTCTTTGTTCCAAATTGTCAATCATCATGCCTCGGTTTGCATCACGTGAAATAACAATGAGAATTTCAGACAGTGAAAAAAGTAGAGTAGAGGATATCCAACTGCATGCAGAAAAAAAAAAAAAAAGAGTTCTGTTCTGACATCCTGCGTCAAAAAACATTGCGGGTTGAGTTTTTTAAAGAAACCACTGGTGCATTTGTGAAACATGTCCCTGGTGTTTATCATGTTTCCTGGTTTCCAAGCTATTGAAGTCTAGAATAAACTATAAACAAAAAAGTGGCAATGAAACAAAAATCAAACCAATTTTAACCGAGAGTTTTCCCTCTTGACTACAACAACTTATTCTGCCAGAGTGCGAGACAGTCAGTCAGTCATAACGGGAAACAAACTCTCCTCTGTTGACTGAGACAGTAAGGCCATCCAACATCATACCCCTGGCCTGGTGTTACCCAGTCTGTGTGAGGGGTGGGGGCTGTTCAAGACTCAGCTCTTGGCTGTGCGAAGAAGATGATGACAGAGATGGCCGAGGGGCTCTGGTCACTGATCACAGAACAGTGATTCCCTCTATGCTGCTGCTTCAATCAGCACTGCTACAAAGCGCATGTGGAGCTGTGCCGTTTGCTGTGTCAGCACAAAAATATCTTTTGTAATCTTTGTAATGCAGAATAGAATAAAATAGAGCAATAATCTGCATCAGCTGTGAGATCAGTGTTTGAAATGTTGCTGGTTATAATCGCCTACAAACCACAGTGGGTGATGACTATCAGATATAAAAAAACAAAAATCAAATTAAAGCAAAATTACATCCATCATCTCTCAGAATTATACCTTAAACTGGATTGTGTTGGCATTCATACGGCACACCACCAAGGTCTAACAGAGAGGTGCATGAGCAGTGTGAACACAATTCCATCAGAATAAACAACAAAAACATGTTGCAAAAATGTTTGTCTGATGCCTTCATCAGGGTGGAGTCTGAGGTTACTGAGGTTGAGTTTTTATGACATTCTCTGCATTCTCTTTAACAATTTGATGGATATCTTTTGCATGATCACAATTTTCTTGTCTCAGTGGCAAAAATCATGTGTCATGTCTCTCTGATCCGCATAATAACTGGTGTCAAGTCAGTGTGTAGGATTGGTGCATTACTAACCTATGGTTCATATATAGTGTGTCTGCTTTAATTCCATGACTTCAAGTGTTAAATGTGCACAGAGAAGGGTTTTCTAACACTGTCATCTTATATTATATACATTATACATATTATATATCATAGTGTATACATTATTTCTATAAATTAGCTCTTGGTGTGACGTCTGCCTTGAGTTTCCCCTGTGGTTCAGTAGATGTGTTGAGTCATCCTGCTTTACAAATCTGCTAACCCTCAGAGATTTTCATTTGTTTAGGTTTCAGGTTACAGTTTAAATGTTGCATGCCTGCAGGCTGTTTAAAGGGGCTTGTTTTTACACAGAGAAGAAGACAATTCAAGGAGAAACACTGATGTTAGAATAGTTATACTAAAAGAGCAGTGGGCATTAACACTATTAATTGAAATATTATCGCAACTTCAATTTGCAAGAAGCTGCAGTTATTTGCAAGAATAATCGCAATTTGATTATTTTTACCATATCGTGCCGCCCTAGTGGGCATCAGCAGAATATTAGAGACATTAGAGACATTGTATTCCAAGCTGCAACCTGCCCTTCATAAGGCACGTAGTAGTTGTAACGTAGAAAGCTACAGTGCAGCTTTTATCAGTAGTTTGTGACCAACAGCTACATCTCTCTCAAGACTGGCAAAGTAAACTTGGCTATTATGTTACACTGTAAATTACCCTCTGTAATCCTGTGTAATACAGCTGTCACCAGCTCCATGTCATTACCATTGTATCCCAACAGGTGGCACTCAACACCACAGCTTCCAGATGGAGGAGAGCAAAAAGCTTGAAAGTCACACCTTTATTAGTCAACCTACCATTTATGCTAATGGACAAAATGCTTCTTACACTATGCAGAAAGGAAGGGGAGAGACTGAAGAGATATGTGTGTGTGTGTGTGTGTGTGTGTGTGTGTGTGTGTGTGTGTGTGTGTGTGTGTGTCAACTTATTTTTAGGGATGAAAAATGTTTTCACACAGTTACCATAGTTCAGTGGATATAACTCATATTTTCCAAAAGAGAGCTCCTTTTAAGGAGAAACCACAGAATCCATTCCTCCTTTGTTTATTCATTTAATTTCATGGCAACTGCGCCGGCATTAAAGCCACATCAGAAACAACACAAGTGAATTGTTTCTCAAATATAAACTTCTTAAAGGAGTAAGGGTCATGGGTGAAGCAGGTGGCTAAATGGTCACACAGCTCTGCCCTTGATTCTCTCTCCTTGTTTCAAAAATACCGTTTCAACTCAGGACCCTGCAGAGTCACACATGTCAGGCATTTGCATGGGAGAAATTGGACTTAAATGGGTAACACATGACTCATTCTGTCTCAGCCCCGACAGCTGCAACAGGCCAAGCGGTTATTGGACAAATATGATTCGCCTCAGAACAGAGCAAGTCTTCAAAGCTTTTCCAATGTGGAATCTTTGACGTAAGCCGAAAAATAAAGAGATATTGAAGGGGATTTAGTGTGAAACATATTGAGTTACATTCAAACCATATCATGAGTATTCATTTTCCTTTCACTCGCTGGATTTTTTCTGACCTTAACCTGACAACTGTTATGAATTCTGCATTAGTAATCAAAACAAAAGACTATTATGCAGCACAGCGCTGGCCGTCGGTTGCTACTTGGCTCATATTGCCTGTACAGTAAACAGCCCACAGATGTTTTACATTGATATTAAGAACCTTAATTTGTCCTGTGCAGAAAAAGGCCAAGCATAGCGTGGGGATTAAGTTCTCAGCCATGTATCACACACAGCACAGACAGCAATCTCATTTAGCTTGAGTGAAGTTTACAGTGAGTGGGTTTTGCATAGGTCATTAGTTGTCTCAAAATACCCCCCTGTCACCATAGCAACTTCAAGTGACTGCTAAATTGCCTTATAAAATGTGATAAATTATTAATGCTGAGAGGGTTTTTTTTTCTTTAATATGTGTGCTCAGGCTCTAAGCTCCGAACAAAATACTGTATTTCCTTTCCTGCACTGCTGTAATGGAACAAATTCAGCAGTTGTCAGTCATATTTCAAAACGTATCCATTGTCTCCACTGTTGAATGGGGTGATTGCTTTGTCCTGATTTGCAGATATATCACGGGGATTACACAGATTACAACAGCATTGCACTCGTGACAACTGAAACTGTTATTCAAATGGAATACCTTATGACAAATCTCGAAAACTGCTGCTGTAAAATAGCTGCATAGTAATTGCCAATACACACGGTTATTTGACATATACATAATGCAGTACTCTCAGCCCAGATGGGAGGGGGACACGCATCAGTGAATAATCTGATCATAGATGTCTGCTGACATTTATGCCCGTTTTATAGCAATTCAGTG